GCTATATGAAGCACTGAAAGAAGCACTGACATGCCAATTCACTAATATAAACGTACAATTGACCAGAATATAATATTAAAATATCCAGCCCAACCCAAAATTATAACCAACCAATGCTAACGCATTTCGAAGGAGACGTCAGGTGGGTCAGGACATTGAAATGAACTACTCTACCTCATGTATTTCATTGAACACCTTTTCTTGGATTGAAGGATGGAGAATCATAAGTAACAAAGCCCAGTTGAGAGTGGTCGCCGTGGTGTCAGTTCCAGCAACAAAAAGATCAACTAAAACAGATTGTAGGTCTTCATCGGAGAAGCCACCGATGCTCTGCTGTGATCGTGCTTCATCCAAGTACGCATCTATGAAATCGCGGATATTGTCTTCGTTGAATGTTGCATGATGGTCATCTATCTGCTGTTGACAGAATCTATGCAAATCCTTTCCAACATTAGCGCAGTGATTAATTTCATTTCGGTAAAATGGTCTTAGGAAGGATATCGCATTTAATCTGAATATCTTCTGAATCAACTCAAACCATTTGTGCATTGTGTCGATCATGTAAATGAATTCTGGATCTGTATATTCGAACCTCTTGCCAAATGTGATGGAACAAATTATGTTTGATACACTCCTGTATATTATGTCTTTAATATCTAAAGGTGTATCCACAATCTCCTGTTATTAAGACAAGCAAACATGAAAGTATCAATATTTGATAGATAAACACATAAATAACCATATATATGAATAAATTAACGTTTGGATTCTTTGGTGCATATCAATGATTTTATAGGTTCCTATGGATTAGGATCAACGACTGAGCCCCCCAAGATTCCTTGTGTAGCGTAAATTAATGACTAAGCCCCCTTATGTTACTGCTAAACAATGACTAATCTATGATTGTTGTTGCTGGTGAACGACTACTAAGAAATTCTCGTCCCATTGATATTCTGGCACCCACCTTGAAATGGTTCAGCAAAACCGTAATTTCTTCTGTTATTTTACTTTCCATGCTGGTCTTACCGAATCCAAGTCCCCGTAATGTTGTATGATAGAAACGTCTCCGTCGTTGAAATGCCTCTTCAAAGCAAGCATTGGCAATACCTACAATTAAAAAACAAAATATTAGTCAATGGTAACTTGCAATAAGATATTCAATAAACAACAACTCAGTTACCATGCATACAACTTTAATACTTTATGAAGATAACTATTCATACAATCAAAATGTCACTTGCGAATAATTTGAGCAAATATACAGCTTGTGTGTTGAGTGTTTTTTGTGTGGATCAAACAGCAACTCATATTCATCATTAATCACCTAAATGCTCTCTTAGAATTAAGTATAATATGTATAATGTGACCGTCATCACTTTAACTACCTACAACATCATACGTTTCTCTCACTGAATGTTTATAGATGGCGTTTTTGTAAAAAATATAATAACAGCAATATCAATACCAAGTGCACGTGGGTTGCTCAGTTGAAATACCCACAGAGGAGGTCTGTCTGCATAGTCATTTCCTTTTTTCACCAGACATTCTTTTATTGCATCTGATCCAGATACAAGAACTCGGAAGTCGTGTCCAATCTTCAAGCTGTAAACACTGCCATACTGTTTGGATAGCTCCCACATATTTTTATATATGGGCTTACTGAAATATACGAAACTGCCAATGAATGGTATCCCCCACGGTCCGGGTGGAAAATTCTTACAAGGTGGCTGGTAGTGCTGAATAGTCACCCATGTAATCAGAATAACCAATGCCAAGAGTAGCAGTAACACTATTGTATCCAACATGATTGATAAGTATCAGTATAACAACATGAATAGGATATCTGGGTCTGGAAAAAGTGTAGAAAAAACACATCACAATTTTAGTTATATTGAGTGTTATGAGTAAATATATTTTTTGTGTAATTAAAGGCGGTAGTCGTCGCGCCACGCATGCGCGAGATATATGGCTCTCATATAAACAATGATGGCGACTTTGACTGTTGCACAGATCAACATAAACAAACTGAGACGTCAAGCTTTAATTAGGTATTTTATTAGGTGTTTAGAAAGTATCAAGGAGTCACGAGCGGTGTTAGTCGCGCCAAGGTCGAATCTCAAACTTGTGATTTTCATTAGAAGAGCGCATTGGATTATGGGAAAATCAATGTTTATCAACACAAATGTCGTACATGCGCACCGCGACGACCACCACCCAATTCGAACTTATTACAACCTTATAAACAATGCAACAGTATATATATTTTGCGCGGGAAAAGTAAACTAATGTCATGAATTTGTTTTCGCGTATCTGTTGACCGACTTAATTAACTGATTATTAGCGAATTGCTGTGTTATGTCTGTCATCGTTTAGGCCTATTTGAAGTTTTGGACGGAACTTGGCTCAGTGATTTGGAACTAATTACCAGATACCGTCGCTATTCTGACATCCGTAGTTATTAATGTAGTGAACGATTAATCAAAAGATATGACGTATTCAGTACTTAGTGTGATTGGCTTTATGATTGAAGGTTACGCCCTAGAGTCTTTTACTGCTTTGTAATTGGTTAGAGTTTTGAAAATGAATAAAGAGAGTTTGAGTTGGTCTTGGCGAATACTCCACGATAGACGCAGTAGAGAGAGAGTGCAGTCCTGGGCAGTCGAGTC